TCCTATCCTGTAGAGAATTTCCAGTTTTAAAAGCTTGGTGTGGTGGAGACAATGGAAGATAAGAAAAGTTATTAATTTAAGAAAATTTAATTCAATAATGACTGAAGATAACATAGAAAATTAGCATGCTACAGCATTAACCCCATGTTGTCTTTTTTTAATCTGCCCATGCAATCAACAAAGATTTCTTGACTGTCTTCACTGTGCAAATCACAATAAACATGTATCTGTATTATAAGACTCAATACAAAAAAGTACAATCTTTTCTTCTTTAAAGTGCAGCTCAATGGCCATCTCCACTGAAAAGCCTCACTACTACCCCAAGCAGAAATAGTTTAGGTTTCTTCTAAGAGAGCACATGAATCTCTGCCAATATTCTTACTAGAGAACATCCCACCACGTGCTGTGATTTAACACCGTTCTATGCACCTAGTGGATCTTAATATATAGTTGCTCACATTTCAGCTGTTAGGTCTTCTGTTATAGCATACATAACAACATCAACAACAACAATGATGACAACTTATTTTAATAAATAATTAGACATCTACAGAGAAATTTCTAAGAAGATACTTGCATAAAATATCATAGCAACGATTTGTACTGATTTTTTTTTTCCATAATTAACCCCTTAGGGAAAACTCTAACCCTTCTGCCCATTTGAGTCTTACAGTTATCCTAAATCTTGTCCTAAATTGTTTACCTCTTCTGCCAGAGACATGGATTTCAAAGGAGATGTGTGTTCTCACAGGAATGAAGTTTAAGTGACAAACAAACGGAAAGGGATGAAGAATAGTGTAGAAAAGAAGAGAAACAAACGCTTTAGTTATCTCCCTCGCAGAGGTACTTAATTCATTATGCACATATGAATAAAAGACATATATGACCTTCACAGAGTTGGCAAAACTACAGGAATGTCCACAGTACTCTCATCTCACTTCCATGTGTTCAGGAGGTCTGTAACACAAAGACTGACCTACTGTGCGCACATGCCCACTGTAGAGCTGATCCTGTGGAACCTGGTCAACTAACTCTACAACCATGAATTTACAGTATTCTTTAGATTGTATTGCCTTAAATTTTTCATGAAATCTAACCTCCCATTACTGAATGTTTCATTCTTTGTCCATTCTTTAGTTTTCTGGATCTGTCCTTAACTGCAAGTGCACTTAAGACTTAAAAAGCAAAAACTAGACTTGGCTTCTTAGCTAACATTATGTTTTCTAAGAACATCCAAAAAATATTTGCTTTCAAGTTGCATAAAGAATTTTGGAACTTTTAAAAGGACTGTAAGTGCCTACGATCACTGATATTAATATAACAGTAAAGCTATAGGCATAAGCATAAACACAAAAAGTACAACAGAGATTCTATCAATGTAGCTCTAAAATATCATTGGGATTTAACTCATTCTAAAGACAAAATGAAGCTCGTCTCCTTTTTTTTCTCTTTACATTTAATTACTGTTCATCTTCACAGCATACAAAATAACTTTCTGGGCACGAGTATACTCCATATTACTCCAGTCAAAGATATTACCATACACATTATCATCAACAGATAATTGTCCATTTTTTGCTTCCATTAAATATTTTTTACACCTCTTGATTCCTTCCTTCCTGCCCCCCTCCATCCTTATAACTGCTTAGAGAGAAGGTTACCAAGGAATCTATGGATTTGGGAAAGAATGGGCCTAACTATGGCATCTCCTGAAACTCCATATAATGTTTTTCATATTCAACTAATGCTTTCTTCTTTTAATATGTCTTTTTTTTTAAATCATGTTTATTGGTTCATTTAACCAATGAGTAAGACAGACAGAGAAAGAGCACTCCAACAGTTTTTTCTTTTTTCTTTTTTTTTTGAGAGAGGTTTTTTGCTCTAGGGCATGTGCGGTCGCCAGACAGACAGAGACAGACAGAGAGACAGAAAGCGAGAAATCACCCCCCAGGGGGGATGGCCATGCTGCAATCCCTTCTCCTCCATTCTCCTCTCGGGATCTTGGGCACGCACGCACACGCGCCCGGCGGGAGTTTAAGCTGCCAGGTATGGGACTTGAATCGTGGTTGACTACATGGGTGCCCAGCGACATAGCCATTACGCTAACTGCTGGTTCCCCCAAACAGGTGGGGTTTTTTTGTTTGTTTGTTTGTTTGTTTTAATTTTTAGCTTCAATCCACCCCCAGCCTTTAGCCAGCCCAGATTATGGGCAAGCCTGTTACTAGTGTAATCTAGGAAGTTTCCAGATTTGAACCAGGAACCCTATCCTTGTAGGCATCATAGAGCACTACATTTTACTGCTGCACCACCATCTTGTCCCCATCTCTTGCTTATTTTCCCCAGTAAATTCTTTACCCATATTACTGCACAGTCTCTGTCTCTCTCTCTCTCTCACACACACACATTAATTCTCATATACACCCACATACACAGAGGTTTATTGAGAACTGGTCATCTTATCTTATGAGCAAATGAAGCACAGCTTTAATGTATGGGATCCCACAAACAGAGCCAAATACAGTTAGCATTCATAGCTTTAGATATACAATAGTTACAGGAACTCCAGTGTAGCGTAATGAGTGGTGTCATATTTAGAATACCAGTTCTATGGTAACTCACCTGCCTAGATAACTAAGCATGGATCCTTGGGATTTGAAGTTACCCTTAATATCATCAAACTTCTCATGTAAAGATAGGAAAACTGAGGCCCATAAAAGTTATAGAATATGGGGACCAGTAGTTGGCGTAATGGCTATGTCGTTGGACTCCTATGTAGTCAATTGTGGTTTGAGTCCCGGACTTGGTGGCTTAAACTCACGCTGGGAGCATGTGTGTGTGTGCCCAAGATCCTGAGAGGATAATGGAGGAGAAGGGATTGTGGCGTGGCCAACCCCCCTGGGGTCCAATTTCTCGCTTTCTGTGTCTCTGTCTCTCTCTGTCTTTCTGGCAAGTGCCCGTGCCCTATAGCAAAAACCTCTGAAAAACAAATGTTATAGAATATGGGGACCAGCAGGTGACATAATGGTTATGTTGCTGGACTCCCATGTAGTTGACCGCAGTTTGAGTCCTGGACCTGGTGGCTTGAAACTCACACTGGCACATATGCATGCATGTCTAAGACCCCAGGAGGAGAATGGAGGAGAAGGACTGCAGCATGGCCAACAACCCTGGGGGGTGATTTCTCGTTTTCTGTCTTTGTCACTCTCTGTCTTTCTGGTGAGCGCACACACCCTATAGCAAAAACCTCTCAAATAATAATAATAATAATAATAATAATTTTTAAAGTTATAGGATATGACTAAGGTAGTAATATTGGATCATTGAGAAAGCCATGACATATTTGCATAGCAAAATATAGAAAAATACATCATTACTTTCCTGATGACCTGATATTTCGTTATAGATTGTAGAGAGGTCTGAATTCAGCTACATTCCTGTAACAAAAGATTAATGGCATATTCTTCAGTCATCTTTATGGATAGGTCACCACGAGAGGGACTATCTTGTGTGTTTCTCAGTTTTATTACAGTTATTCTTTGAATTGAGTTATTATATTTTGCAAATTATGGTTCCTGAGGCTAGATGATAAAACATGATGCTCTGTGAGGTTCACCCACAAAGGAAGGTTCCAGGCTTATGTTGAAGACCTTGTGGAGTACACAGGGCACGCGAGTACCCTGATCTGGAGCTGACTGAAGCTGGAGTGGATTGTGGTATCAAGACTCCACTGGGCATGCTGTCTCTCGCTCTCTGCCTCTCTTGCTCACTGAAGAAATAAATATATAAACTTTTAAAAAATGTTATGATTCCTGGAAAAAGAAACACTGAAACCATTAATGGTGTAATCACCAATGTTCACTTACATTTGCTCAACTAACTTTGAGCTTGAATTTGTGGAAAATCAGAGAAAGAATTACGAGTGTGGGTATGATCATCAGCTAATCTCAAAGTGATTGTGTAGAAAGCAGACCATTCAGAGTCCACAGCTGTCAACATCGCACAGCCTTTCCAGTGATCAGAGTTGGAACTGGTTTCCTTTATATTCCTCACATTTTATTGTCAGAAGTACAGTTTTAGAAGAGTCTGTGACCTTTTCTACATCCCCACTTCAGGTAAGGGGATAGAGAAGCAAATCTTCCAAGTATAACATAATTTCATAAAGCAAATAAAATGAACACATCAACTGGGTAATATAATCCAAACTATGCTCATTCTGCATAATTTTTTGAAAACAAAATATATCTTATTAACAAATAAAATAGAAATCACACAGAGTCTGGAAGTAGCGGGACAGGTGTCATTAGGTTCTCAGGTTCAGGAAGAAAAAAAAATAAGGACACTGCCTCAAAGCAGCCAGATGGTTCAGAACCTGGACAATTGCCCAGTTGCTGCTTCCACTGCTCAACCCTTCCTCTCTGCCCCTCAGAAATGCGGTTCTCCTAGCTAAACAAATCCTTAACAGTTTGCCATCCATTAGGACTGCTGTAGATGGTGCCTTAGTGGTCCCAGGAGACAGAAGACCAACTGCTAATTACATGTTAACTTTAAAGATTCTGAAAAGCAAGATTTTTAATCATCTGGAACTTTGCATCTTATTTCCATCTCCATAATATTTTATATAATAGGCTAAAGAGGAAAGAGAGCTCGACTCGACAGCATATCTGGAAGAAAATAATGGTAGCACATATATACACACACATATATATGTATTTATATAGAGAATACATACACATATATATATATGTATGTATGTATGTATATATATTAGTTGAGGCAGTTTGTTCTTCACAAAGGGACTCCTAATTGAAACAATCAAACAGTTTCTTTTGTTTATATTCACTTTGCAAAGAAGCATTTCAGAACCAACTGCACTGAACACTTAATTGTGAGGTAAAGAGTATTCCAATCTATTTGTTTAAACTGTATCATACAGACTGCATTTAGAAAAATCTACACCACCCTCTCAGGAGTGCATGAGAAGCCACTTCAGTTTCACAGCTGGTTTTGGTGGTGCGCTGGTGCAGATTACATTCATCACAGAGGCTGAACCTTGTAAGAAATAGGAGATTTCAGCAATTTCAGGCATCGTCCATAAATCTTGTGTAAAATTCAGCAACTAAAGACAGGCTAGCAATGGTACATTTTTCTATTTTAAAGAGAATGTCTTATATATTTAAGTAACAATTATGGGATATGAATGACCCTCTAAACATACCACTTCAATCAAGATAGGATTGTTATTTCAGTCAATATGTCCCTTATCTCTACATGTCTGGTTGTGCCAGGGAAAAATTAAGTCACTGCATACAAGCTTTGTAAACAGAAAAATTACTGTCTTAAAATTCTAAGCTGTATGAGTATTATAATAAAAGCTCTTCTTGGGTAACTCAACTGAATATACTATTTTAGTCTAATAATACTAGGAATGCATTTACTCCTGCTAATCAATTTTTTAAAAGAAAGCTATTCTTCTCATTTTGACTTAAATATAATTTCTTATTGGTTATTAACTTTTAAAATATTTGGCAGCTCATTTACTTCACTTTTTAAAAAAGCTGCTTTCAGCTGTGATAGTAGGGCCAGTTGACACCTGCTGCTCAGCAGGCTGAAGCCACATGGAAGGCCTGGATTTAATTCCCAGTCCATGGTAAAAGCCAAGTGTGGTGATCTGCACATGTAATCCAAGATGCTTGAGAGGGTGAGGCAGGAGAATAGTGAGCTTGTAAACTGTGGTCAACACAGGGAAGCACTGTCTAGAACAGCCAGGATGGGGTGGTGCATACTTGTAATCCCAACTATTTGGGAGATTGAGGCAAGGAGACAGGCACAGGCACACTTTGTAAAAAGAAAAAAAAAGAAAGAAAGAAAGAAAGAAAGAAAGAGGAAGGAAGGAAGGAAGGAAGGAAGGAAGGAAGGAAGGAAGGAAGGAAGGAAGGAAGGAAAAAAGAAAAAGAAAGAAAGAAACCAGGCTGAAAAGGCTGAGAGTTCTCTGCAACCCCTGGTATATAAAACTAAAAGAGAAAGTCTGTCCTTAGTCCTTTGTCCCCATCTGATTCTCGCATCTTCAGAGTTACCCAATCTAGACTGGAGCAGGTTGTGACTGTGGGTAAATCTGGATAGTCCACTCCAGATCAGTGATGTGTCTGAGAGCTCTCCAGTCCCATGTCGGCCTGAGAATTCCCAGACCTTTGGAAGTACAAGCCAGTTTTTAGGACCAGTTGTGGTTATAACTCCTAATTTGTGTCCTCTACAAAAAGAGCTAGGAACTGATAACATCTCTCCATTCAAAGAGGGCCTCCATTTTTGGAACCAGGGAAATTATCTAATATATTTAGAAGTTCGGTCTCAACCTGAAATCCATGGGTGTTAATGTTAGGAATAGCTTGACCTAAGGAAATGTGGGCGTCTTTATTCTGTCATGGCACATGACACAGTTAAATTGTGGTGGCAACTTTGTGTTACTTTTGCACTTTTATGTTCTGTGCATGGGAATCGAGTATTCTGCAACCTATAAACATCCTTTAATCTAGAGATAAGTTAGAGTGGAGGAAAACCTATTTCTTAAACAAGGTATGTCATCTTCCTTTTACCCTCTGTTGGGATAACGATAGTGATAGTTTATGTCTGGTGCTCTGGATCATGTACAATATTCCTAATTTTTCTACTTGATGATAGCCCAACGATATAGGGTGACAAATTGAAAAGCATTTTGCAGTTGAGAAAATAGGATTAATATATTGGTCATGAACTAATAAAGTATCAGAGTAGGAGCCTGAACTCAACATCAGAGATCTGCATTGTGTATGTTCACTTACATATATGATCTGTTATGTTTTCTGAAACTCGTGGGACTATGGTCAACTAGAGAGTCTACACTTGATCACATTCACATTTTTAAAAGACAGAAATAGAGTAAATACAATGTGCACTTGTGTAACAATTAAAACAATAATAATGTAGAGCTGGGACCTCTAAGACCTGCTACCATGAGAATTACATAGCAGTAAACACAAGATTTATTTTCGGATAGTTGGCATATGGTGCTAGTGAGAACAAATATGTAGGTTTGATTTCTCATTTGGACCAGTTGATGTAATTCAGGGAAAAGGCGTATTCCAAAACTGCATGACAGTCCCAGTCAGCCAATTTAGAGATATGTAGCCACAAAGGAATCTAGGTGACAGAATATTGTTGACTTGGTGAAGTGGACAGAAATCAGCCATTCTGCAGATCAATTTTTAATTGTCACTTGGATAGTAACAGTGCTTTTCAAAAATTTCTTTTGTTTCCTCTGGAAGTTTACTGATTTCTTTGGTCTGCAGGTGTTGGAATAATATCATTATGTGGATTTAAACACTTGGAAATTTCTATTTCTTGAATTCCAAGTTCCGTAATTGATACTGACACCATCAAATTCATACAAATTCACAAAAATTCACACACAATTCACACAGTTCATACACAATTCACACGAAGTCATGTACATTCACAGATTTTTTTTTTCTCAATGAGGATTATTGGAATTCTGAAGATTTACAGCTTGTTTCCAACATTACAGTTTGCATGTTTCTTGACAATCCATGCTCAATTCTACCCAGGGGGAAAAATGGGTAACTATGTAAGATGTTGGCTATATTAATTTGTTCTACCACAGAAATCATTTTACTTTAACAAGTATCTCATAAAATCATGTACACAATAAAATTTATTTTTTTTAAATCTCTCTCATTAGGCAAAAGTGAGGCCACAAAATCTGGAAAGGAGAAATTCTCAATAATTCTCAACCTAATATAACTTAGTTTCTCAGATGGATTATGATAATTCTTCGTACTTACCAATTGTCTCATTCATACATGATCACATAGCTCTTACAAGGACATTGAACCTGAAAAAGTGCTAGAGGTAATAAAGAAGACTAAGGTCACATCCTTGCATGTGACATATTGACCAGAGCATCCAGGAAGATAAGATTCTGGATGTGAAGATAATGAGGACCTCTTCCTGTAACTTTCCAGGTTTCTAAACCATTGTTGGTCCTTCCATAGAAAAACTCTTCTTAAGCCTAGTAATTCTTACCCTCTTACTTACATAAAATTCCTCCTGCAGCTGGATACCAAGGCATCTCAAATCTTGTCATCACCTACCTTCCGTGAACATAAAAGCTTCCTGCTATCTAGAATTAGAAACCAATTTCTAAGATTCTGAGCATCTTCTGTATGTCACTGTGCTTTGTGAAAAAAAAAAAAAATCTATGCTCAGCTTAACTGTCCTGCAGCAAAACCTTCCTTCATAACTGATATTCTTGACACCACAATCAAATGTCTAAATTCTCTATGCTTTAGGGATGAATGAGCTATACAGAGAAAACTCCACATGCTGTCTTCACGAGAATTTCCCTGGACTAAGAAACTAGTAATGTCAAGTGAAATGAAAGGAAAGAGAATCAAAGTTTTGTTTATTTTTTAAGGTCTACCACATCGTCCAATATTCTTAGAACATTCTGCACAGGCTCTTAATGTCTAAACTTGGCTAATTATATTTTTTGACTTCATCTTTCAAATCCAATTTTGAAATACAGAATTCATATACATTTTTTTTTCTGAGTAAAGAACATTTACCTTCCCCAAAATAAAAACAGAACTGTTGCTTTTGGGCAGTAAATAAATTTACTTATTCATGAGAGCCATATCTTCTTCTAAAGCATCACAGTAACATTCCCCCATCTCTGTTTTAGAATAATGTTTGTTTTTTTCCCCTTTGACACCTCAGTACTATGGCTTTATGACACAACAGGGTATGCTTAGTTGGTGTGTTAATATCACAGTTTGAATGCGGTAAGCCATGAATTCAAAGGAAAAAAAAACTACAAAGGACCAAAAAGTGTATTACTGGTTGAATAAAGCACATCCTGAGTGGTAATTCAAGTTTTATTTTGTCACTTTATTAATGATACTCATTATGTTATAGGGTATTATATTACAGAAAAGGAATCATGTGCCTCCAACTGTATATGGATAATGCTGCAATTCCATCAAGGCATTCCGGCAACACTGCAAACTACCTGAGCAAAGCTTGAATAGCTTGTTTTCTAGCACCAGAACTCAGAATGGAATAATAGCTCTGATTTCATATACATTGGGGATACATTACATACCACAGTACGTATTTATATCAGTCAGGTACATTAAATGAACACAATTAAAGTGAACTAGTGTGAAGAAATAATCAGTCATTGCCTTATCAAGAGAATCACCACCTTCCTCTTTGGAGGGCCAAATCCCTTCACATTTCTGGTCATCAAAGAATTAGCCATGCCAGAAATAAGAAGGAAACAAATGAATCCTGCTCAAATGAGAGAAGAGGAATTCTTCCCCACGTCAACAAACTACATGACTGTGGAGCTCACCATTTTCTACACTGAGTGAAGGGAACACCCAGGAGTGTGCGGTGTGTCTGCATGCTTTCTATGATGCCAGTGCAGAGGGGTATCTCGACTCTCTTCTGGGGACCATGGACATGCTAACACTTTCCATCAAGATCTGAGACAGCTTGAATGAGCTACAAAATACATCATGGGATCCATTTATTTACAAGTGTGAAAAATACCAAAAAACCATTTTTTTTTTTTTTTTTTTTTTTTTGGAGAGGTTTTCGATATAGGGCACGTGCGCTCACCAGAGAGATAGAAAGCAAGAAATCACCCCCCAGGGGGGATGGCCACACCGCAATCCCTTCTCCTCCATTCTCCTCTCGGGATCTTGAGCATGCACGCACACGTGCCCAGCGTGAGTTTTAAGCCACCGGGTCCGGGACTCGAACCACGGTCGACTACGCAGGAGTCCAGCGACATAGCCATTAAGCCAACTGCTGATCCCAATAAACCATTCTTTGAAGGTGATCACAGCCTACATTAATGCATGAGAAATCATGGAAATCAAAGCGAACATTTATTGAATGTATCCCATGTCCCACACTGGGCTAAGTGCTCTACATGCCTCCTCTCATATAAACCTATGACCCTAAGAATAGGTGTTATTGTTAACACCATT